CTTTAGTACTTGTAATATAAGTGATTTATTAAATATGTACACCAAAAAATCGTCTACACATTGTATAATCAAATTATCATGAATTAAAACGGAACAATATGAAAAAGGAAATTTCAATTGTCTAGAATAAGACATGATGTGCATAAATATAGAATCGGTAACATTAATATATTTTTAACAAATTTAGGTGAATTGATAAATGAATGAGTGTTTTAAAGAGGTAGTAACTTGTTACCTTTATTATAGAATTATAAATTTCACCAATTTATACAATAGAAAAATAATTTTATAATGTTAAATATAATTTGTAAAATTTACTTTCGTCGCACAAGGTACACAATATGTCTTTATATTGCATAATACTTAATTAGGATTTTGTTTTTGAAGCAAAAATCTACAACGGAATTTTTAAATTATATCGTTTATTTAATTTTGAATAAATTGTTCACACTTGTTTCAAAAAATGTTATTATCAGTTCCAAATATTAGAAGGCAAAGTTTCTTCTTGTCAGCGCTGTGGTGCAGCTTTTGGTTTTGGCATTTTATTTAATAATCCCTGAATTTCTTTCTTTTCATCATACGTTTTCCATAGTTCATATAAATTAATAATATATCGAGCAATTTCTTGAATCTTTTCCATGTCTGCATTCAGTTCAGCAAACCATGACTTTACATCCTTTTGTAGTATGACACAAGCTATTTGTAAGCATCCTACAATACATGATTTATAAAAATTTAAATCATATATTATTTGAATATATTAACAAAATATGCGTATTATCTTACCAATTGCTATTTGATATGGAGGATATAGAAGACAAACATCTGTTCGTAAACTATCATTAATTATACGCCAAGTAAGTGTTAATAACTGATCATCTGGACCCACATCTTGAATGAGTGTCAGTAATGGACGATATGGTTGATATACAATTAAACAACAATCTAAGTGTTCCATAAGATAAAATTCACATTCCAAAATATGATTTGTACGATATGGAAATTCTTGAGAATATGCATAATTAAATTTATTCTTTACTGAAAGCATATGCGATACGTATTAAATGATATATTAATTTTTAATTCAGTTCAATTCATAGAGTTTATAGTCAGACACATACCTACAGTTTGACAAGTTGTAATTAACCTGGTATTAGAAATAACTCCAAATTCCTCTACTTTGGATGCTAAAAAAACTGATGTAGGTGCTAATAATAAGGGATCTATACATTTTAAGCTATTACGCGCATAGAATCTTTTAAAATAAACAGTTGCTGTAGCAATAACTTGTTGTCTAAGTTTTAATTGTTCACCTAGTACTTGAATCACTGAAAGAAACAAAAACGTATTATAAAAATATCTTATAAAATAACAGTATTTATTTGTGTATAATTTATGGTTAAAAGAATATTATTATTAAATATTATTAAATAGGTTAACAATATAACTTACAGTTTGAGAAAAAGATAAATAGTTTTTGATATTCTTCTTCTGTTAAAATAGAAAGATCATGTTGTCGTTCTCGAACAAGGTCTTGTTTATCTAGAAGCCATTGTTGACTAAAACATAAAATACTTGAATAACTAACGACACAAAATTATAATAATAATACTTCTAGAAATATCTTACTGATGTGAACTTTGCCAAAAATTGCCAGCCATATTATTGTTACATTAATTGTTGCAACAGAGGAACAATTTTGCACCGTTCAAAGTTTTTAGACTGTTCTCAGGTTTACTACCGAATCGATTCACTTAACATCCATTTTTTTCAATCACTGCATGGTTATACGCTTCAATATAACATTCGAGAACATCAATACGTATGTAATATTTTTCCGATCACTGATAACATTTATATTTATGATTTTTTAAAACACTATCAATTGAATGTTTTTGTATTTCAAACATTTCTACATATTGATTTCAGTAGATTTTGAAAGTGACTGTACTAATTGTAGAGAAAAATATTTCGTCATGATTCACTGTTCTAAAGTTCCCTATGTATGCTATCAGGCGATTTGTTGATTTGTTGATTTGTTCAAACTAACTTTTACCAATCAAAAACTATGCAAAAGTATATAGGGGAAGACTTTACTGAAAATCACTTTTGATTGATAACAGAAGATACATATTTAAAAATATTCTGGTGTTAATGCAGTA